GAGCCGCTAAATCTTCGAGATCAGTTACTATGGCTTGGCCGCTGTCAAGGCAATGCAAATCATGTACTAATCTTGAAGTTGTTGTTTCATTCATGCTTGTACTATGTCTGGCAGGAGCGCAATGTGAGGATCCATGGGGGTCAATCGAGGCCACATCCGACTCTCCGCAAGGAGATCCTGCGTACTGTCCCCTGCAAACTATCCGCTTTGCAGGTCTATCACTCGTCTTCCAGTTCTGAGAGACTCCTCACGTCTTGGTTTCGTACGTACTTTTGATCCCCTTTTGTAAACACTAGCTTCTATTACTCTTGAGCCCTGATGAATATGTAACTACAATCAGACTTTGTACAGTTGGTTGATTTATAAAATTACAGTTAACAAAAAAATATATATCAAAATTCACATATGATGTATCATCATACAGGGATGAGCTAATGGATTGTGACGTTAGGTCCATGGAAATTATGTGTAGCCCAAAAAGTGTAGGGATGTGGACCACGACTCCCATAAACCATATATAGTATCCTCGAGATACCGAGTTATATGGTCCTTGTACGTATATGGATGGATGCTGTTATGATTACGGATAAATGATAGGCATGCATGCCATGGAGACGAGGTACACTGGCAAATATACCTAGTGGTATTTTAGATTTTGGAGTTTTAATATTAGTTTTTTTTATTGATACTACTTAATTAGAGAATTAAGGTACTTTAGAAGCATTTTTAGTCTTAATAGCCTTAATAGAATTAGGGTTTTCTAGATCCTTGTAAATATGGCATCAGAACATTTTTAACTCATTCGGCATCAATTTATTTTTTGATATTCATATTGGTTCATTGATGAATCGTGTTATTACAATTAAATTGCATCTTTTCTTCCCAACGGCTACTCACTCGAACATGCCACTTCTCCCTTCTCAACCACCTACATCACTCGCCATATTCCGACTGGGTCATTTCGCATCGATTTCACCAATTAATTTAGTTTTTTGTCGGTTTCTACGGGTTGAATTTGTATTTTGTGTCACAAAATGCCTCCCAACGATGATGTTGAGTCTTTCTTTTCTCGATCTGATTCATATGATAATCCACGTTTTTTAGGTTGATATATCGCATCAACGTGTTATTTTTTAAAAACTTATTTAACTAATAATTTTAACGTATATGGTGAAGGTGGATTCTTAGAAACACATGGAAAGTAGCCGATTGTTTCATATACTTGATGCTGAAATCCATTCTTTGAACTTTAAAGCGACTCAGCAATAGTTAAATGATTTTTTAACATTTGAATTCAAAATATATTTTTAAAATCGTTCGGAAATAATTTTTGGAAAATTTTCATTCAAATAAATTCTTTTTACAAAGATATAAAAAAAATATTACCTAAAGTAGTTCCACTACAATAAATTGTATCTATTGATATGATTTTTGTTTGATTTGGTCCTTTTTTGTTTCATGTTTAATGCGATTTGGTGTATAAAGTTACTGTTTTCGTTGTTGTTTCTGCTTTTTATTTTTTTTGGTATATTATTTTGTTTTCTCGGCAATTTTATGAGATATTAATAACAACGACGACGACAACATAAATTATATTTGATAATATTTGGTCTTAATTAATTAGCCCAATAAGCACTAAGTCGTAACTTGTAAAAAATTAATCAAAGACCATTTCATCATAATATACTTTGGTTCAGATATATCTTAATGACTAGACATGTACTAAGTCATGACTTGTAAAAAGTTATCTTTGGTCTTTTTATGATACAATATAGAAATTTTGCTAAATATGAAACATAAACCAAAGTGTTTTTTTTTCAAACTTTGTAAACAAAATTTATCGTGAATTCTAAAATATTTTCTTTTTATATTATTACATATCGGTTAAGAAATTGACATTGATATTAGTATGGTTTAGTCTCATTTAGTGAATTTAAATTTGACTGTCGTAATTGTTATGATTTGATATCTTATTTCCTTAAGAAGATTTGGTTTTCATGTTGTTGTAGATCTAAATCTCTGTATTTAAGATATTTTCGATTCGCATTTTGAAAATAAACTAAAATTTATCCAAAAATAATAACGAGAATGCCACAGACATATTTTACCCAAAAAAACAACAGAGAATTGTCAATAGATATCACGTTAAAATATATTTTTTTTAATTTTAAAATACAATGCAAACAAATCCACATATATATATTCATTAGGTATTTGTATTTCCCGAGACATGCTACCAAATTTCCCATTCGGATATGGACGTGCGAAATTATATGCATAAAGTCACGAACAAAGACGAAGACTCGTTAAACAGGTCAATCTAGTTTTTTTTAATTATTTTATATTTTTTGTTGAAATTTATTTTATAATCTTGCACTAACGTATAAACTTTCTATTTTAAGCAGTTGACGAATGATCCTTAAATCGACAAAATTACCCCAAATGGATAACGGGAGGAATATTAAATATTTTAAAAAATAAAACAAAAAACGGTAGAATCCCAAACATCATCCATCTAATCCAACAAGCATACATATATATACATACACGTTTTTATTTTGTTTTTTGTTTTTAAAATAATTTTTAATATTTCTTTGTCTTTTTTTTAAATTTATGTTTATCTAGAGAAAAATCAGCTTTTATTAATAAAACTCTTCCAATAATTTTAAATTATAAATTGGATATCTGTGGGGAAAAGGGAGATAAGCGACTATATACGTAGTTTATGATTTATCCATGACCATTAATTTCCTGTAGACTTTTGCCAAAAGAACAATAAAGAAAGAAGTGCAAAGGCAATTTCTTGATTGTCCATTGCATATATATAAATTGAGCAAACCTTAGGATCATATCTAATTTTTCACTATAAAACTTTAAAACATATATATATATATATATATATATATATCATTATATCATCGATCATATAAGGTAAGGCTCTTCTTTCCCATTTATTTTTTCAATTTGTTTACTGAATTTGTTTTTTATTTTAAATTAATTAAAGATAAATATTTTATATTCCGTTTATTTTGGGATACGATTTAAAAATATATATGTTGATTCAGTTCTTAAGTTATTAATTCTTAAAAAAATTATTTTCAAATGGACTTTTTTTTTATGTTAAATTTAATTAATTCGTCAATATTTGTTTGTTTGGATTATGTATAAATCAATCAAGATAAGCGACCCCAAATATTAATATTTCTTGGACTTACTTAAATTATCATTATCATTATCATCCATATTATTTTGTCCCACAATTTAAACATATGAAAAGATTTTCCACAAAAAATAAAACATATACAATTGTTAGGAAATTTCCCGGAAAATATATATAGAAACCGTTTCAAATCAAACAATCGTGAAAGTTAGCTTTTCGTTTTAAAAAAAAAAATCAACCACGCGTGTTTACATATTTAGAAACTCCGATCTGCAACAGACTCGTACCAAATTCAATCCCCGTTCAAGAATTAGGTGCTTCTCCTCTGCTTCCTTAGGAAGGTGACAGGAAGATTCGACGCAGTGATCGATATTTCAGTATATAATTTCGCCTGCAGGGTTTGAAATTCCAGGTTTTCGGTTTCTAGGGTTTATCTGAGTTCATTGTTCTTGTTCGTTTGGCGAAGGATTTCAAGGGTGCATTTGGTTGGTGAGGAGAAAAAATAAGCGACAGAAAGAGGGGGAAAAAAATGGGAGGGTGTTTCTCGGGAGATTTGAGTGGAGGAAAACAAGCCATTGGAGGGGTCCAACAGAGGCCCACATCAATGGCTAACGATGCCGCACACAATGACGCCATCGATTTCTTCTTCAGATCCCGTGGTCAATTCCCCCTCTTTTCCCAAATCGAGGTAATATAATACATATATGTGTAATGTGTGTACATAGACACACTGTTGTGTGTGTTTCTCTGCCTGTGGTTTACTATGTGTATGTGGCCCCTAAATGTCAAGTGGGGTTTGTGTTTTGTGTATGTATAGATGTGAACGTGCATATGTATAGATGTGTGATGAGTGGCTGTTTCAACAGTGATCTTGTGACTTCTTAACATTGGACATTAGCATGCATCGCTATCCGATGAAAATTATGGATAAGAAGAAAACGCTTAGTTTGTGTAATGATTCTCTTTGTCTAAAACTGCTTCACTCTGTTCTGAATCAGAGTCTCCATATAGATTCCCAAACTTGCTATATAGTCGACAAATTCTCTTAATGATTTGATTTGGCTGTTGATAGTTTTTTGACCTCATGAAGGGTAATAGCATGAATCTTCAGTATATTAAAATAAGATCGGATGTTTATTTTATTGCTCATAGTGCAGACTTTATATTTAATTTGAATGTGGGATTTGCTTTGGGATTATTCTATGGTATCTATGACCATATCCACTTTGAAAACTGAAGTGGATAAGATATTCCCCATGTCTTGTGCTTTTTCTCTTGGAGTTATCCATTGACTTGGGCACATTGTCTTTGTCAATGTTTTTTTTTTTTCCCATTTGTTTCCCCTGGGTTAGTCTGGGAAGACTTTTCATATGAGGAAAGAATATGACTTCCTTGTTTATAAAACCCTAGTATTTTCTTGTTTGGCTGCTGAGAAAATACCCGGAAAATGGTATGACTGAAAATTCCGGCAGACTTTTTCCTGGTCGGTTTATCGGGTAGTTTCTGTTCTGGTTGGCTTCTGATGTAAATTGCTAACAAATAAAACAACCTAAAAAGGATATCCAAATTCCTTGTTCATGTAACAGTCTGCAAAATCTTGCATGGCATTAGATGTTGGTTGAAGAAATGATTTTTTTCAGGAAGTAAAAGGAAAAAGAGTAATTCAATCTCAGATTTTTTAGAATATATTCTGTCCCCAAACATATAGAAGTTGCATTCTTACAAGTTGTGGACGTTTCTCACTTGTCACATAGCTTTTTATTTCTTGAATTCTTTTTCCTAATGATGATAAAGCCACAAAAGAATTAAAAAAAGAAACTAAAAATTATCGCATAGTATTTGGAATTACTGCTTATGCTACAATGGTAATGCTTTGCTCTCATTTTCATGGAATGCATTGTAATCCATTTGCCATCTTTACACTTTTATGACGTGTTTAGCACTACATTATCTTTTTGCTTTGCTTTCATTTCATGGGATATTGTAATCCTTTATCCATCGTTTAACCTTAACGACGTGTTTAACATTTGTTTCCACTATGACGTGTCTAATATCATGTAATCTATTTGCTTTGATGTCATTTTAATGGAATATTGAAATCCTCTAATATTGGGTTAACAATTCTTTTGTAATTTTACTTTGTGTAATTGCGTTTTGCAGTTGTCTTTGTCAGCGTCAAACTTGGTTGACCGGGATATTACGTCTAAGGTTTGTCAGCCTCTTCTCATGCTTCAAGACTTAGACTTTGTGATTGTGTATTATATCATCCTTATATCTTTTGCGTTTTATGATTGAAACATGCCATTGTGATATTTGGAAGTGAATAATGAAAACATTCATGCATTAAATCACAGACCTGAACTATGAAATCCATCAGAGAATCTAAATGGCTTACTATTCTCTGTGGATCATTTCTCTTGTACATTTGAGCTTAAGTGTTACATATTATATTACAGACGGTATTTTAGTATATCTGTAAATTCGATAAGTTTCGCTTTTATTGTAGAGCGATCCAATGGCTGTTATGTATTTGAAGAAAAGGGATGGCAAACTTGAGGAAATTGGTCGTACTGAAGTCGTACTCAACAACTTGAATCCTAACTGGATTGAGAAGATAACAATCAATTTCCATTTTGAAACTGTCCAGACATTAGTGTAAGCTGCTGAAAACTATCTTCTGCTGAACTTTTCTTATTTATTAGCCTGTGGAATGTTGTGGGTTTACTTTACATACATATATCCATTTCTTTTCTTTTTTTTTTTTCAGTTTTCATGTGTATGATGTCGATACCAGCTTTCACAATGTCCCAGTGAAGGTAATTTTATCATCTTGCCTTTGGAGATTTACTTGTTTCGTAATATGCACCCATGTTATCAGTTTACAATGAAGTTTTACATTTTGCTTTAGACGTTCATGAATGTAACGATGTGCTAATATTGTCATACATTCTGTTTAACTCTGCAGACACTGAAGTTGAAGGACCAGGACTTCTTGGGAGAAGCTACCTGTGTTCTCTCCGAGGCAAGTTGCTTTTATCAGTCTGGCATTGCTTTGTGATGGTTTTATTGTTTTTCACATACTTCATTTGACCCAAATCCATTTGTTTCTGTAACTTTTCTATTGTTGCAGCTCATTTTTTATTCATTTCCTTCCTCATTCTTCTTTCAATTTCCAGATTATGACAAGACCAAACCAAACTGTAACATTAAGTCTTAGTCGCAACCTTGGGCCATGTGGGAGTAAAAATCGGGGAACACTCGCTGTTCACGCTGAGGAAACTGTTGCCTCCAAAAGTGTTGTAGAGATGGCTTTTCACTGTTGCAAATTGGACAACAAGGACTTATTCTCTAAGAGTGTATATGCCCACTTATACCTGCCTTTCTGTATGGTAAAAAGATTTAGATTTCTCTCTGAAGTCCTAACTTATATCTTCTCTTTTTATTTTCTTCCTCTAGGATCCTTTCTTAAGGATTTCTCGAGTCACCGAGGCTGGTGGTACTGTTCCAATATGTCGGACTGAGGTTGTGGACAACAACCTAAACCCAGTCTGGAAGCCCATGCACTTGAGCACGCAGCAGTATGGGAGCAAGGTAAGCTATCTTTTTTTTTTCCTTGACAGTTTTTAACATCGGAAGTTGTTCATACGGTTTCTTATCCTTTGCTTGATACAGGAAAACCCATTGGTTATTGAATGCTTTGATTTTAATAGCAGTGGAAATCATGAGCTTATTGGGTAACTGATATTTTTCATTGTGTTTTCTACGGGCTCTCTCTCTATGTTTCACTTTTAAATACTAATAATTATGTTGTATCTCCCAGGAAAATGCAGAAATCTGTAGCTGAACTAGAAAATCTCTATCGAGAAAGACGCGGTGCTAACTTTATCTATCCATCCAATCAGAATGGTGCTGATAAGGTGCTTATTCTTACCACATGGGTAGAATTTTAACAGTTTCTGCATCTGTTTCCTAAAAGATGTTTCTGGTTCTTGTAGGTTCTGAAAGGTCAGCTCTTTGTGGATCGATTTGTGGAGAAAGTGCAATACAGTTTTCTTGATTACATCTCCAGCGGTTTTGAGCTTAATTTCATGGTTGCAGTTGACTTCACTGGTGACTCACCACCACCTTATACTTCCTTATATATTTTACCGTATTTTCAATCGCCCGGTGTATATGATTTTTATGTTGTTTTCCTGCTTTCCAGCTTCAAACGGTGATCCCCGAAGTCCAAGTTCTTTGCACTACATTGATCCTTCAGGCAGGTTGAATTCATATCAGCAGGTACCTTTTTTCACCTGGATGTCTTTTGTACGTGATTAAATTTTATCAACAATCTATGTTCTTAATGTGTATAAAAATCTATTAAATCGATATCTGATTCTAATACATCATTGTTTTTAGAATACGTCACAATTGATGGTTCTATTTTCTAAAGTTTCACTTTATTGTTTGATCATATTCATAGACATGGTATATATTTTCCAACATTTGCAGGCTATAGTGGACGTGGGAGAGGTTATCCAGTTTTATGACTCGGATAGGCAGTTTCCTGCTTGGGGTTTTGGAGGAAGAACATTCAATGGTTCAGTCTCCCATTGTTTTAACTTGAATGGGACTCCCGACGGCTACGAGGTAAATACTAAATACACAATCTAAAATTTTCCTGTTACTATTTTCCGATATCACTGATTGTCACGATGCATTATCTGGTACACGTGTATATATCGGTCAGAGAAAATTTGTTTCGTTTAAAATCAAAAAACCCCCAAAAATTTTGCATTCTCCAAGTGCTATCTAAAAAAATCAGAGTTTTCATTTGTGTATACATGTGTGTTCGAATCCCATACACATCGTGTGTATGTATATGTTTATGCATCTATACTCGACTTGAGATATGCTTATCTATATGTATTAACTTGTAGAGATGTATATGCATATGTGAGTTTACATATGAAAATGTTCTTCAGTAGTAAAACATTTTGGCAATAATCTTTCCCTTCATTTTTTTCACAATTACCGTTTTGGAGATGAAAAGGTTTTTGAGTCATCCATTCTGACAACAAATGTATCATCTGATTTCTGTTTTTGTCCAAACCAGTGTTAGTTCTGTCTTAATATCTACTCGAATGTTTTATCGATGCATACTCTTCTCTCCATCTCAGGTTGCGGGAGTTGACGGAATCATGGCAGCTTACTCTAGTGCTCTTCGCAACGTTTCTCTAGCGGGGCCAACTATATTCGGCCCAGTGGTGGATAAGGCCGCTTGTATTGCTTCACAATCGCTCTCACAGAAAAGTCGCAAGTATTTTGTTCTCCTCATCATAACGGTAAGATCTCGAAGAAAATCTTGAACTCGTGTTATCTCTTTTCGTAGTGGTTCCAATATGGTTCAACACAGTTTGGGTTGGATTCACATAGGATGTTACCTTTATATTATAATGGGATTAACGTTCCAAACTGAGCCCAACCCGTTTTTCAATAGGTTAACCCGATTTAATACATATAACTAGATGGGCTAATCAGTATACAGAAATTATTTGACAAATCTTGTGTGTTTTTTTAAGGATGGAGTCCTTTCAGACATGAGGGAGACTATAGACGCATTGGTGAGAGCTTCGGATCTTCCCCTGTCGATTCTTATTGTTGGGGTCGGGAATGCAGATTTCAAACAGATGGAGGTATGTCTACTTCAGTTAGATCTCTCGGTTCCTTCTCTATTGATATACACGTCTTTTTCGGGTATAAATGTAAGATATTTAACGGTTTGGTTGAAATCGGGCTTCGCCATCTTTCAGTTTCTTGACGCGGATAATGGTCGCCGGTTAGAGAGTTCTACTGGTCGGATAGCTACAAGGGACATCGTTCAGTTTGTTCCCATGAGAGAAGTTCACAGTGAGTATTGTGCTTATTTCACTTTCAAACATCCTCATGCAAAATCTCTCTCTCTCTCTCTCTCTCTCTCTCTCTCTCTCACACACAGGATAAAGATTACATACGCAGACATGCTTCACATACACACATGAAAATTGCATCTTCATATGTTTATGTATATAGTTGTGTGTTTGTTACTATATATGTACATACATGTTAGTATGTTACATTATTATTTTGAAACGACCGATTTGAATTAATTTATTATGAATAACATCTAGAATTGTTATATGTGTTGGAATAGGTGGACAAATCTCGGTGGTGCAATCACTTCTTGAAGAACTTCCGGGTCAGTTCCTGACTTATGTCCGAACCCGAAATATCAATCCGGTCGGTGCTCCGGCGAGTTGAAGTCACGTTACATTCTCTTTTTAATTTTTTTTTTTAAAAACTTTTTTAGTTAAGCTCAAAATGGAAAAATGATGTTAGGGTTCGTTAGATTTTTAGGGGCGTTTTTAAAAAAAAAAAAACAATTTCTGTATATAGAAGTTATTTTCGTCATGCTACCATGGATAACCGTCACCGTTTTTTAATGACTCGTACCTCTAATCTTTGGTAGGATATCAGAAAAATCGTACCGTACCTTAAAAGATTCGATATTTTCGATTATTTATGTCCATCCCTATCAGCAACTATATCAGTAAATTCATAAACTGTCTTTTTTTTCATCCTCGAATATATTACCAATGACCAGAATCTTAAAATTTGAAATTTCTAATGCATTGTAGAAAAAAATACAGAATCATAAGAGTTTCACATTAGCATAAACATCGAAAATGCTAATGCAGAAACAAAGTCGATGGATGTATCCATGTTATCTCCAAGTTACCAGATGAGAACACTGTTAGTGCAATTATTTGCATATGTGTTGTTTGGTTGTTAAGTGGTTATTGCAGGTTCAACAGACTTGAGAGATTTCAGGAGAGATTTCAGGAGAAGAATCCGGCGAGATAGAACTCACGCAAATCTGAGGTACAACTGACGAGTTTGAGATAAAGTCAAAGACTAAGAGATTGAGATGGACTCAATGTCAACCACTTGGAGAGATTTTAGGAAAAGCAATCTGAAGAGATAGAGCTACGAAGTTAAGCCACGAAGTTTGGAATTGACTTGAAGAGATAAAGATAGAATCAAAGCCAAGAAGATTTGAGGAGATTTGAGATAAAGATAAGATCTTGGAGATAAGGTCAAAGGCTGAAGAGATAGAGTCAAACAAGAGATAAAGATGAGATCTTGAAGATAAAGATGAAATCAAAGAAAATCAAGGAGGAGTCTATCAAATCAATTCGTGGAGATCTAAGGCGAACTGGAGGAGCCTATATAAAGGAGAGAGCAAGTGCATATCAGTTCTCACGGAGAGCAAAGCATATTTGACTAAAAGAGAGTCTTTTTGTTAGTGAGTGAGCACTCACTTTTGAGTGAGTGTGGGTTTGAGAGAGAGACCGATTGGGCAAATCTCTTTTCTCTGGTGAGTGTTTGGGCGTGGATCTGAGGGGGAGACCTAATGGAAAAATCTCTATTCCTTTGGTGAGCGTTAATGTTTGGTAAGGTTTTTAATCGGTAGAATTCATTGTGAGAGTGAGTTGAAACTCAGGGGGAGTTTCATCTGGGTGTTGAGTAGCTCTAACAAAAAGTGAGTTGTACTTGACAGTTTTCTCAAGTGAATAGAACTGGTTAGTTTTTCCGTTTTACTCTTTGAGGGTCCAAACTTCTTCAATTGGTATCAGAGCTGGTCACCGATCGTAGGAACGTGTCCTCTCATATCGGTGTAAGTGTGGAAGACACAACATGGACTCGATCAAAGGGTTTCACGCTCTTGGGACGTACACAATTCTTGATTCGGAGAATTATAGCTTTTGGAAAGTAAAAGCAATGAATCTCATCAAAGGGATTGATGAAGATGCTTGGAGTTCGGTGGAAGAAGGATGGAGTGCTCCAACTCACGTGGTTGATGGGAAGAAAATTCTGAAGCCTAGATCTAAATGGACAACCAAAGAGAAGAGAGCATCGGCATTAAATTCAAAGGCGATAACCATCATCTTCAATACCGTTGATAAGGACGAATTCAAGCAGATCCAAGGGTGTAAGTCAGCAAAAGAAGCCTGGGATGCACTTGAACTAATTCATGAAGGTACCTCAAGTGTTAAACGCACAAGGAGAGATCTGATCAAACATCAATTCAACATGCTTCAGATGGGTGAAAACGAAAGTGTCAAGGAATTTTGCGGGAGGTTGAATGCATTAGCAAACGAGGCTGAAGTTCTTGGAAAGACCTACCGAGACAAACAATTGGTGGCCAAACTTCTTGTAAGTTTACCTAAAAAGTTTATGTCTCATAAATCTGTATTCACCATGGTAAATAATGTAGACACTGTTAGTTTCAAAGAAACAGTTGGTGCATTTGCTGCTCATGAATTAGAATTAGAGTTGTATGAGAAGCCAAAGAGATCAACAACGTCGCACAAAAATATGGCTTTCCATGTCCCAGAGATATCTGACACTCAAGGTCAAGTATCACTGGACGAGGGCATGATGATGATTGTGAAAAAGCTCAACAGATTTTTCAAGAAAAAGCCAGTGACTACTGGAACATCTGAGCTGAGAAACACTGGAAAGTGTCTCGAATGCAAGGGAGTTGGTCATTGGAAAGCTGAGTGTCCTAACATTGCTAAGAGAGAAGCAATGTTGAGGAATCTAAAGGATCTTCAATGTTATAAATGCAAAGGGTATGGTCATATGAAGAACGAGTGTGCTGGTGGGAAGTCAAAAGGAAAATCTTCACTCACTCACGAAGAGTTGGAAACTGAATATGATGAAGATGAAGAAGAACACTCAAATTTCGTTGCACTCTTTGGTGACACAAAAGAACATGAGGAACAAGAGCGTGAAACCCTTTGATCGAGTCCATGTTGTGTCTTCCACACTTACACCGATATGAGAGGACACGTTCCTACGATCGGTGACCAGCTCTGATACCAATTGAAGAAGTTTGGACCCTCAAAGAGTAAAACGGAAAAACTAACCATGACTTGAGGAAACAGCTGATCAAAGAACAAAAGGAGAAAGATTCAATTATCATTGTTCTAAAGAAGCAGCTGAAAGAAAAAGAAGAAAAGATCACCTTACTACAAAGTTAGTTGGATGAGACTATGAAAAAAGTAAGGATGCTCGGAAGTGGTACAAAAAAGCTTGATCATCTACTGAGAATTGGGCGAACTGATTCTGGGCATGCTGGCCTAGGATACACTGGAGGAAGTATTAACAAAGTAGGAAACTTTGTTTCTGGAGGAAAGCTTGGAGATGAGAATATTGTTCCGGTCAAAAATACTCCAAGAATCAAGTTTGATCTTCATCCGAGAAAGCAGTATCGTGAGCACAGAAGTTGTTTTCATTGTGGCAAAAGAGGACATATCAGAGTGAACTGCTACTGGAGGAGAAATCAGGTACCACTCGCACCAAGATGGAGACAAGTCTGGAGGAGGAAAGATATCAACAGGTGCAATATTGCTTGTACATCAGAGCTGAATTCAAGAGAAAGTCAGTGGTATTTCGACAATGGATGCTCGAAACACAGGACTGGTGACATGAGTCGACTTTCTACTTTTGAAGAAAGCAACAAGGGTGACAATGTTATATTTGGTGATGGACGAAAAGGAAAGATTATTGGAAAAGGAAAGCGAACACCGAGTAACTGTTATACTTGGGATGATCGATCGACGACAGAGTTATGGCATCAAAGTAGAGGGAAAGCTTACGAGATATCTGATATACTTCGAGAACCAGTTAGTGATCACTCAGATCTTGACCAGGTACATCTCACTTCATCTCAGAATTCTGAAGTGCTAGAAGAGGATATGAAAAGTGATCCTGAGCCCCCTGTTCGTCGAAACTACCTAGCCAATGATGTGAGTGGAAGTGTGAATGACCCACGACTTCAGCTCTGATGTACAAGCAATATTGCACCTGTTGATATCTTTCCTCCTCCAGACTTGTCTCCATCTTGGTGCGAGTGGTACCTGATTTCTCCTCCAGTAGCAGTTCACTCTGATATGTCCTCTTTTGCCACAATGAAAACAACTTCTGTGCTCACGATACTGCTTTCTCGGATGAAGATCAAACTTGATTCTTGGAGTATTTTTGACCGGAACAATATTCTCATCTCCAAGCTTTCCTCCAGAAACAAAGTTTCCTACTTTGTTAATACTTCCTCCAGTGTATCCTAGGCCAGCATGCCCAGAATCAGTTCGCCCAATTCTCAGTAGATGATCAAGCTTTTTTGTACCACTTCCGAGCATCCTTACTTTTTTCATAGTCTCATCCAACTGACTTTGTAGTAAGGTGATCTTTTCTTCTTTTTCTTTCAGCTGCTTCTTTAGATCAATGATAATTGAATCTTTCTCCTTTTGTTCTTTGATCAGCTGTTTCCTCAAGTCAGTGAGTGTTGACTCACTCTGTTTTTGTTCCTTGATCAACTTCATGTTGATATCGTAGGCCAATTAGCTGATATCTTTACGAAACCACTTGATATGAATGGGTTTGTGTGTTTTTTTTATAAAAAAATCTTTTGGTTTAGGAGAAATCTGATTTTATCTCTAATGGTGTCTATTCGAAAGTGATTTGGTTCAATGATTGTGAAGGAGAGTCAGTGATACTTGACAGGTATGCCAAGTATACTTCAAAAAAAAAATTGACATGGACATCCCCTGATACTCCTCTGTTGACTTAGTACTCCTGAATGACAAAAAAAAAAGGAAGGAAAAGAAGGAAAAGAAAAAGAAAAAAAAGGGTGATGAAAAAGGAAAAAGAAAAAGAAAGAAAAAGGAAAGAAAGAAAAGTTGATATGAGTAGATTGGAAAATTGAATCACTCGGGTCTAAGTTGAACCACATGCAGTCTATACGATGGTCTAAGGGCAGATGATATTCATGCATCATACTCCGCTGTAATTTGAAACATTACAAGAGTATATCTCAGTGAGATAGTCTGGACTTAAATGGTGAAACTTGCATGCTCAGTTTCAACGTCCTAGAAGTTCAGGGGGAGAAAAGTCAGTGAAGTGTTCGGTGGAAAGTGAGGTATTTCTGACTTAACTGATCAAGCATTATGCTCTAATGATCTGTCGAATGATGTTATTAGATTTAAAATTTGAAAGATCCCAATTAATCTCGCATGTGTTTTCATTTGATTTTCAAAAAAAATATATATATAAACCGGATTTGAGTTGAGTGGTGAAGTAATGACTAAGTTATTGGACAATGTGGATAATTGCACTAACAATCTCCCCCTTTTTGGTTATTTCAGATCATGCACACACACATAAAAATATTCTCAATTCAGCATAACTTCGCATCAGGATTCACATCATGATTCAGACATATTTGACTTTGATTCACTTAACAACACATTTCTCCACATTCACTCAGACAAGTTTGACTTAACTAGATCCAAGAGGAAGATTCAAAATTCTGCAAGCCAGGTAAGTGTCTTAAATCTCTTCTCACTCAAGATTTTGGATTATTTCATACATGCACACAGGGGGAGAATGTATAGATGATGATTAAGAGGATGAAGATAATGAGACGATATATGATTCCATCAATGGAACTGAGAACGTACAGGAACAAAAGAAAAAGACAAGGTCAAAGTGGTCAGAGTTACTTCAAATTTAAGTCAAACTTGTCTGAGTGAATGTGGAGAAATGTGTTGTTAAGTGAATCAAAGTCAAATATGTCTGAATCATGATGTGAATCCTGATGCGAAGTTATGCTGAATTGAGAATATTTTTATGTGTGTGTGCATGATCTGAAATAACCAAAAAGGGGGAGATTGTTAGTGCAATTATTTGCATATGTGTTGTTTGGTTGTTAAGTGGTTATTGCAGGTTCAACAGACTTGAGAGATTTCAGGAGAGATTTCAGGAGAAGAATCCGGCGAGATAGAACTCACGCAAATCTGAGGTACAACTGACGAGTTTGAGATAAAGTCAAAGACTAAGAGATTGAGATGGACTCAATGTCAACCACTTGGAGAGATTTTAGGAAAAGCAATCTGAAGAGATAGAGCTACGAAGTTAAGCCACGAAGTTTGCATGACTTGAAGGAGGAGTCTATCAAATCAATTCGTGGAGATCTAAGGCGAACTGGAGGAGCCTATATAAAGGAGAGAGCAAGTGCATATCAGTTCTCACGGAGAGCAAAGCATATTTGACTAAAAGAGAGTCTTTTTGTTAGTGAGTGAGCACTCACTTTTGAGTGAGTGTGGGTTTGAGAGAGAGACCGATTGGGAAAATCTCTTTTCTCTGGTGAGTGTTTGGGCGTGGATCTGAGGGGGAGACCTAATGGAAAAATCTCTATTCCTTTGGTGAGCGTTTGGGTTGGTAAGGTTTTTGATCGGTAGAATTCATTGTGAGAGAGAGTTGAAACTCAGGGGGAGTTTCATCTGGGTGTTGAGTAGCTCTAACAAAAAGTGAGTTGTACTTGACAGTTTTCTCAAGTGAATAGAACTGGTTAGTTTTTCCGTTTTACTCTTTGAGGGTCCAAATTTCTTCAAACACAATAACTACAAATCATAGATGATATAAATATAATTTTAATAATGATATTATATATTATCATGTGTTGTAAAATGGGTGTTGAGTAGCTCTAACAAAAAGTGAGTTGTACTTGACAGTTTTCTCAAGTGAATAGAACTGGTTAGTTTTTCCGTTTTACTCTTTGAGGGTCCAAATTTCTTCAAACACAATAACTACAAACTTGCATTTATATAAATATAATTTTAATAATGATATTATATATTATCATGTGTTGTAAAATTATATATTAACTTGCATTTTAGATTTTCATGTGTATTTTATCTTTTACATACTACTTTAACTATGGTCCAAATTTTAGAAAAGATTGGAAAGATGTACGTGGATTTTTAGATATTTTAGTCATTCATTAAAACAAAGGTAGTGTTTCAATAACTTTGAGTCACATAGGCTTGACAGCCTCATCAGGAACATCATATTGGCCCATCAATCAGGCCCCAACCATCAGGAAAACACCCTCTTACAAGCTTGGTTCTATCTAACAAGGCCACCATGATTATCATACGAAAATCATCCCTCCTTTTTGTTAGCTTAGCTCATGGAAGTGTAAGTTTCTTTTGTTTTCTCGGTAACAAAAACCCGATATGTAAGTTCTTTTTGACGTAAATAGATTCACATTTCAAAAAAAAAAAAAACTTTGAGTCACCCCTCGTGCACGATTGCAGACAGACACAAATGCGGTGTTTGAGGAAGCCGCTTGCATTAAAAATTGTTATTTAGTTAAAAAAAAAAACTCGAATTTAATTCACAATTACTCTTTAGTGGAAAACTCTAAATCTTTAACTTGATAGTATTTCTGATGTTAAAATCAAGTTATTCTTACATGATAAATTGAATACGCAATCTAGAATTCTAATAAAAATGAATTTTCTCTTGGATTTGTTCTAAGTTTCATGATTAAAACCTAACATATTTATTGTTTTTATATGTATTGCTTCTTAAATTCAAAACTATATATGTTTTTGTTGAACATGTTTATAAATGTAACCGTGTCACTTTTATTTTTATTTTGATCCTCATAAATTTTCTTATCAATTTAGATTGAAGTGATATATTGCAATTTTGTGTGTTGTGTATCGGGATTTTAGAAGATGTGTATTGTAACTTTAGGAGATGAATCTGTTTATATTATTTATTTGTTTTTTCTATTCAAATGCATTCCGGTTTTTTGCGATATCAACATATGTATATATTTGTAAACTAAAAACACTTTTGGGACATTGGTTCCTATAGAATTATCTTGTAATAGTAGATGAAATGATCATAAACAAAACCAATGACATCGAAATAGCCTATATGAATGGTGGATGTTTTTATCATAAATGCATAGAAATTGTTCAATGTATCAAAGGTGACGAAAAAGATGAAAGGATCTAAAACCAATCAAAGATACACATAAATAACGAATTCAAATTGTACTAGTGACTAGAGGAGGATATGATATTATCTGCAAATCTTAGATAATGCAAATATAATTTTAACAATGATAATATATGTTATAATGTGTAATAAAATTATAAACTTTGCATGATACATCGAATAAACGTAATTGAATTCTAATAAAGATGAACCTTCTCTGGGAATTGTTTTAATTTTTCATTATTTTAAAACTAATTATATATGATTTGTTGAATTTGTTAAGCCGTGTGTCAAATTGAGAATAAAGTAAAAGGACATATGGGCTTAAAGTCTTTTTTTTCCCCCTCAAAATATGGTTTAACTGAGGTCATTTGAAGCCACCAAAATCCATTTGCCATTAAAACCAAGTAACTTCTTCTTAACCACAATGTACTGTGCTCATATTCTTGGAATTGCTTCACGCATATATACATTTAAAGAAATTAAGAAAGGGGTTACCAAAAAACTAAAACGAAGCACTCAAATGGAGAGGAAAATGATGAGAAATCTCTCCTGGGTATGGGCCAAAAGACACATATATGCATCAAAAAATGACAATTGAAACTAAAAAAAAAGAAGAAGCAAATAATGGTACACAGAACGAAAAGAGAGAGAGATATCGAAAGATTGGGAGCAAACTCGGACCATCAATTTGATTTTATTGTTTTGTTTTGGCCCTACACCAACATCCCTATCCCCTTGATGAGATCTCAACCAAAGATCTCAGATTCTTCCTTCAACCAAAACTTGCCGCTCTCTGTACCCATCAAACCTGTCGCCGGTTTAGTCGGCATGCAATATTTTACCGCTTAGATATCTTAAACTCCGACAAACAACAGTCCTCGGGAGTAGGAAAATTGGCGCCGGGAAATTTTCCGATCACAGTAAAACATGGGCATAAGCTTATCACCACGGTTAAAAAGGCTAGTTGGGAAACCTAATTTCTAGACTTCAAATGGGTAAAGGTTTTCACCTTTTACCGCAGGCTACATACTCCTGAATCTTCATAGACATTGACAATTACGGATAAATCACTCAGTAAAGTTTCATATATTCTAAAAAAATGCCTAAAAGGACTCCTCAGAATTTACAGCTACAATGAAATTATTGGTCCTTCTCTACACAATACATTACACATGCCGATTCGATGATTTGATATCACAATTCACACACTTCCTAACCCGACGAATGACAATATGATCCCATGACCATATAAAAAGACCAAGATTGTAGGAATGTACCTGAACATTCCTAGCACTGAACTAGCTTTGATGTCATGTCTTCAGTTCCTGCAATTCCTGTAGAAACATGAAATTAAATGATCCAACCCAAAACAAAATGGTCAGTTATGTAAAACCCAAACAAAATAATCTTCTTTATTCTAACTTCTTTTTTTTCTTTTTCCGATGAATGAATATAGAGTTACACGTGAAAAAAAAAACAAAGAACCCAGTCCATGAAAATCGAGAGACTGTTGATGACGAATATCCATTTACAGTATTTACACAATGAAATGAACACGAGAGTAAGACCGGAATGTTCCCCGAAACTGGAAACACACGACAAAGAAGCCAATTTGATTTGGTGTTTTAGGTATTTGATCAGTCAGTAAGCATCTTATATTAGTAAATGACCCTCTCCGTTGGGGCTTGGCTCTGTACGAGACGTGTCTTATTAACTACCAGCAGAAGCACGACATGACCAAGACATGAACCACGAGAACAACCTGGCATAATCAACCTGCAAAGATCCAACAGTACCAATCTCAGTGGAGAGAATCGATTCAAATTACCTTGCATTTCTTCAGATTATCAAGAATAATCCGATTTATTTCCATAAGGAATATGCAAGAAGATGCTAAATCGAAAATGAATAGTGAGTTATATAAGTCTTACCTTCTTCTGAGAAAGCGAAAATGCCCCCAAGCATATCATCGTCATCGCCACCTTCCTCTGATTTTTCACGTTCAGATGGGGCGTCATCATTGTCTGCTTCAGTAGCGATTTCTGCGGATTCATGAGCTTCAACAGGCGCAGTTGTGGCATAATACCCCTCTTTGAAGAACTGCTCGAAATTGGGTGATTCATCGATTGTTCCCTCATCCAGGACATTCATGCTCATATCAGAACGGTTAGAGCTTGCAGTAGAAGCTTCACTTGTCCCGCTGCTATCCGCAATGGTTCTTCCAGCGGGTAGATCAGTGTCTACATAATCAGTCTCTTTAGAAGGAGATATGGAAACTACAGGTTGTTTGAAAGATCTAGAACTGCTAACTCCGGTAGGAGGACTTTGATTTTGTATATGTACTCCAAAAGAGGGATGCCTGCTTCTTTTCCTGTCATCACTTTCATTCCCAGATCCAATGGCCAAGTAAGAAATCCCTGATGATTCAGCATACCAATGGAAAGATCAAATCGAGAACAACAACACAATACTAGAAGGAAATTGACTGTGACCAACCAAGACAAAATATGTCGCCTTCTCGCAAAGTTTCCAACTGAGAATTGTAAACCTTAACTTAGATTCAGCAGTACCTTTCAATGGATTTTCTTTCATTTGGTCAGGATCATAAAGTGAATCTGGGTACCTTTCCCCAGTAAGCCCCCTGCAAGAAACAAAGAAATCACAAATTGGCAAACATAGATGAATATGAAAGAAGTGAAGCGACCAGCTGCTCTAGTAAATTACCGGTTGCCCATACTGGAGTATACACCATTAAAATTATCGAACACAGGCAGCAGATCCTTCTTCTTTATTTCAATCTCTCTTGTAGATACTTTCTCGATTTCTGTCTCCCCCCCAGACCGGTGCACACCTGAGTTCTCGCCATCAACCTCTGGTGGACACATCGAGTAGAAAGATATCTGGCAATAATTTTTATAGCAATGTCATGAAGTTGGAAATACTAACATGGTGTAAGATAAGAAAGAATGGCCCCTTGGCTGGGTAAGACAAAAACAGGTATAAATAGTTCATGAGAACCTTAGAATTTTGCCAGATCGGTCTCCTTCCTGAGTTAATCTGCACCTCTGCATTGGCAAGATATACTTGGTGTTTTTCTGGGGGCTTCACCAACTCCTTGTGCCCAATGTCATTATCTTCACCATCAGAAGCATCCATAATAATATCTGCAGTTTCTCGTCCACCAAGAGTAAGCCCATGTATGTTCTCCTCTCTTTCGGGCCAATCTGTTCTTCGGCAGACATCCCAACACTGAACTGGTTCGACTTTCACTCGCAACTCCTCTTCAGAGGTTGGCAAAGAAACAGCTCCAATTCGTGAATTGCTTTCAGCCAGGTCTCCCCCAACAGGCGGTACAAGTTTGTATTGAACCACATGACCTGACGGAGTGTAGACCAGCAAATACTCCAGGGCATGATCTGACAGTGACTCGGCAGGCACAGATTGATGGAAAACAACAGCAAGAGCACCAGAGGGAAAAGATGGTTTCCCAGCAACTGAACTTGCAGCTTGTAAGAAATTGTTGCTTTTGATTCGGCTAATTACAGTAAGGTTTACAGATGCTGGCGGAGGAGGTGAAAAATGGTTGGTTGTGAATGACGAACTCGACCACCATGGCAGAGACAATGATGGTGCAAGTACAGATCCACTGGCATGAGAATTCCGTATTTCAAGAACATTCTCTCCACCAAAAGGGGAAAGAACAAAAATATGGCATGTACCCTTGGATGAAACAATCGCAACCCACTGACTGTAATGACTAAAGCAAATATCTTGTATTACCTGAGAATAACACGAAGTCTGAGTCCGACGAGGATGTGAGGATGGAAAGAAATTCACAACAAAAAATGGAACACAAACTTACAGCTGATGTCATGCCACGATGCAGTTTGTACAAATGCACATGAGAGGAGCTCCAATCATAGCTTCGGGTGCCTGATCGACTCTTTGAGGAAGCTGGCATAATCCGAAAGACATTTATATTGTTTCCATGGATTGAAGCAGTGACTAGCAGAGTGCCACTTGGATCAAAACACAGAGCAGATATTGGGCTAGTGTGAGCTTTGAACTGCGATATAATAGCTCGCGATTCAAAATCTTTGATGACAACCTGCATAAGTGTCATATCGATAAAAGAGTTATACCTGGTCGTAAGACAGTTCTCAAGTCTCAGGTGGATCAGAATCACCCAACACAGAACACAAAATATTTGAGAACGGAACCTAGTACAAGCTCTCTATATACTTAATAAATGACCTGAGAGGAATATGAAGAAACATATCAGAACACTTTTAAACTTTCCCATGTCGTGCATTCTGTAACTCGTGATTTTTTCTGCATAGTCTTGCAAAGTTTAACTATGTCCACTCATAAAAGTTAAGAACCAACCCAGATTCCAAATTATCAGAAACTATGCTTGGATTATTAAAGACTAACCGTTCCAGCAACATCTGTTTCTGCTGATTGTGATGCTGCACGACCAACTTTCCAACTGGAACTAGATGAAACAGGAGAACCAGTACCATCATGCTTGAGATCCTGGCAGTATTTAGATAAAGTCTTGTAACCCTTGTCACCCAAGTTGATTAATCCAGTGGCCAGATGCTTACTGGATTCCATGGCATATCTTGCCACTAGATTTCCATTGCTTGGCGAGGTAGATGGACTGACACCAGGAGACGTAAGAGTCTGTGGGCTTAGACGACCAGTACTAGATGACAAAGGATTGTTGGAAGCATAAGCTAACCATCTAGGACCGACAGCCATTGGACCATATCCGATATTGACCCCAGATATCCCTTGGCTTCCAAACTGGGGGACTGGATATGAGAGAACACTGAATTTGTTCTCAAGAGTCAGAGCATCAAAACAGTATATCTGCAGCAATATAAACACATTTCAACAGCATGATTAGATGCATCTCTTTATTAGCAGAGTTGTCTAAGAAGTAGCGAGAAATTATATAATGAAATACAAAGTAAACTATCTACGTCGGATCTCATGGAAAGCAAAACATATCACATCTGCTTGAGTTGGTAGACAGAACCTGTGAACCAAGGCCAACAGCTACTACACGGGGGCTGCATCTGACCATATAGACAGTTGATCGGAATCTTAGAACATGTACATAGTTGTGAGATCTCAGAGAATAGAATCGAACAACTGTGGGAGACAGGGCGAGATTTCCCATCCGAGGATCTTCGTAACCATTTCTAATTGATCCATCTCTAGCAGTGAAAATAGGACCTGAGCCTTTAGATTCATCAGCAACCACTAGAAGGATAGGATGTGATGATCTAAATCCTTCAATGCCCTCACATTTCGCAGGGAGGGACTGCATCTGTAAGAATGTGACTGGATCATCCCGCCTTGAAACAAGTTCACGGACATTAGCAGCATCATTGACGTCAAGGACTTGAAACCCATTGGAATAACCAAGCAAGTGGACATGCTTGAAGGAAGATGCATCTGTGTGTAGTACGTCAAAGGAGGACCAAAGCACCTGCTTATATAAACAAAATGTTAAGCATTATCTCGAAACAAATTTCATAGAGTTATGTAAACACGAATCAGCTCCTAATTTCTCTTGAATTCGAAACGTAACATTTCCATTCCGGAATTTCCTTCTAATAAACTCAAAACCTAGCAGACTAAAAATCCCTAATCTTCCTAATCCGGTCAAAGGGACGCGAAACAAACTCGAACAGGAGAACCGATCAGAAATTAAAACGGATCAGATTCAACTGGCAACGAAACCAAGATTATAAAAACAAATCCAGAATCGCGAATCGGAGAAATTAATCGAGACAAACCTGGTCCTTTTGCTCCTGAGACTCTCCGGAGAGAGAAGCGGCGACGGAGGCGCTAGCTGAACGGACTCCAGAGGAAGCGGTTCTGATGAAGGTGGAGATGATTTTCAGTGAACTCGGCAACAAGCCATTGGTACCGTTCTTACTGTGATTATCGCCGTTTTTGTTGTTGAATTTGGCGCTTTTCCTCATAGTCAAATCCAAATCGACGAATCCGATATTTCCGGCCACCGGAGACACACCGGGGACAAATCGCCGATCGGGAACCGCATAAGCAGCAGAAGAGAACGAAGAGATCCTTCAACTCGTGAAGCTGTGGCGTTTCGCCATATTTGTTCCCTCGTTAGATTTGCGGTGATTGTTCGGTTGTGTTTTTTTGACCTTGACAGAGAACGATGGAGAAGACGAGACAAAGAAGAAGAAAATAAGAAACTGTTCTTTCCTTTTCTTCTCTCTCTCTCTCTTTTTTTAATTATTATTTTCTTTTTTTCACATCGATTTTCTTAACAAGATGGGTTCGTGTCCGCGGTGGTTGTTAATTGCCCAGTAAGCAAAACGTTTTCAAAAATTCAGATTTCACCCCAAATTTTAATTTATCCCGAAATATGATGCACTCTAAATTTGCGATATAGTCCCTAAGAATATCTCGACTTTACAAAATAATACTAACAATTGTGATGTCATTTTTTTATATGTATTTCCATGATTCGACTAGATCATATTATCAAACCGCATATGACGTATTACTTAAATCCCATTTGAGCACATAGTTAATCGAGATGCAAAGTATTACTTATAGATTTAAAAAAAACACTGATTGGTTGATAAAAATGGTTCTAATCTTACAATTGATCAAATTCAATCAAATATCAAATATATCAATGTTGATAAGAATAAAATTATATTTATAAAAGACTATTAAACGATTAACTTTTTTTAATGAATCAAATTTGTTAATTGTAGAATATAGATGGAAGATTTGTATCATATGAACTATTGAATAAATATAACCAAAATTTTGACTGGTTTTAATGTTATTATATGTGATAATTTTTACAGTTAACCATGTGTCGAAATTAAATTTAATTGGTAGCTTATTAAGAAAGTGGAAAGAAGCCGATTCCATAGTAGATCATATTTTGTTTTGCATAACCTCAGTGGCTTCCAATTGGAAAAGATATGCGGACATTTTAGAACTTCAATGAAATATGTGGTGAAATATACAATATACAAAGAGTTTAAGGGTCGAAATATAAAATTAAAAACCGTGGGGTCGTTGATTACGTTACGACAGAAGATGAGAATATCTTAAAAGAGATTGCAATTGCAAACTGCTTAAAGTAATCCTCTTTGTTTATTTATAAATTAAGAATTATTACTACGATTTATCATTTAATTAAAATATTATTTATTTTATTTAGAATCTAACAGATGATATTTACGTTGACATATCCTTGCAAGTGATTTATTTCAAACGATACACGATTTTATCTTTTAAGAGCATGGATATAGTTTAAGATATAATTTAAAGAATAGCAACCGAAATAACTTTTCATAATTTTTACTCTAATCATATCTCATACGGATCTAAACGAATAATTTTCATCAGTGACCTTAATTATTAAAACTAATTGATATTAAAACAAAATTTCATATTAATTTTACAATAAAATATCAAATTAAGATTATTCATCTTTATAATTAATACACGTGATAATAGATTTTTTAAAATTGAGACTTACCAATTATAGGAACATAATTTCCGAAACAATACGACAGAAATGGAATTATGTCGGGAAGTTGAAATTAATTGATATTTTCAAAGACAGAAACAATGATTTTCTATTTTAATTTCCAAAAAAATGAAATAAAAATAATAATAATGAAAAAACACCAAAGTAAGAACAAGAATAATGTCTTTGAGGATATGCTAACTTGACGTGTCAGCCTCACTTTCTCGTAACATTACGTGTCGTGTCTCTCGTTTTGACCCACAAAGGCAATTTTTAAAAATTTATTGAGGTTTTGGATATCCATTTGTGGTTACAACAAGAGAATTATTACGGAATATTCTAGAAGCAAAACCCGAGTACGGCGCCTAATAATACAATATGTGATTATAGAACATTTGTCTAATATTATTATATTTTATTTTATTTAGATTTCTATTTTATAAATTGTAATATAACATATGTTAGATACTTAACTTTTATTTAATATTTGATATTAACAATCAATATAATTATCATGTGTCTTTATATCGTCCAAGAAAAAATATAAAATTTATATTTTGATGTTTTGAACATTTTACATTTTTTTAAACTCCATCGTATAAAAAGGAAAATAAAAACCATTCAAGTTGTGGTTAGTTTTAAGTGCAAGTTGACGCAATTTGTTAAATCATGGAGACATTATTATTGGGACAGACCGACAAATTGAAGACCGGAATTTTAAAAACAATGATAAAATAATAATAGGGGTAATTGATATTTGTAAATGGTGGAAATTAATAGTTATACGATTTATATAATTTAGATTGTTAGGTTTCGCACTAAATTGGATAATTTAGTAAATAATATTTATTAAAAATGAATATACATAAGTAAATTTGTGAATCTTTTATTTTGTGTGTTGAATTTAATTTTCTTCGATCCATTTACAAATATTTTCTGTTTGCACGTATATGCACAAAGGGCCCAACGAATTGAAACCGAATGGGCCCAAAATTACTAGATTCGGCCCATTTTCTACAGAGTTTGCAAGCCTTTGAGGCCCGTTTAAAGAGGTTTTTCCATTTTAAAATTATGAATAGATAGATGCACAAAATATATAATTTCGTATTCTCAAATCAATATTAATCGTTAATTGTTTAATTTATTTTAATTAATAATTTTATACTTGAACTAAAATTATTAATCACATATGAGACATGGATGTAATTTTACCAGAAAAGAAATATGGATTTAGGACTTTCAGTAACGTTTGGTTTGGTTAACTATAAATTGCAAAATTGCCTCTACCGAAAGTTGACCCTTGATACGTTGCTTAATTAGAGGTTATTTTTTGCTTTAAGCAAACCTTGATTTTGACTAATATCTAATCCGGACCTAATGATTATTGCTTATGTATAAGCATAATTAGTGATAATATTCGATATGTAGTTGAACATATATATATATATATATATATATATATAATCAGTTATCATATTCAACAATTTCTCATTTTTTAATTAAGAATTATGTTTCAATGCTTTTGTAGATATGGTGGGTTTTTAGACATCTAGTGATGTAGGTTGGTTTGAGTCGCATCAGAATCAAATCAAAGTTGGTAATTTGTGCGATAGATTTCTGATAATAGCTAGGAAAATCGTCAAATAGACTTATAGTTAGTTAATTAATCTGTAAAACAAAAGTTTAAGTTATGTTATTAGTGTGTATACAGAAAAAGTTAAACCTCAAACAGTAACGTGGAAAACCAATTAGTTTTATTCACTTGAGAAAGATAGTCAAGTACAACTCACTTTTTGTTGTAAGAATGGTACTTACTACGCATACCCGAAACTCCCCCTGAGTTTCTTCCCCTCTCACAATGAATTCTACTGATTAAAAAACCTCACAACATAAATCACTCACCAGAGAAAGGAGATTTGCCCAATCGGTCTCCCTCCCAGACGTTCACTCACCAAATAATGAGAACACACTCATTTAACGGAATAGACTAAGAAAATATGTTCATGCTCTCTGTAGAGCTGATATGCACTTGACTCTCTATTTAAACTACTTAGGTTCGTCTTCAGATCTTCACCAATTGATCGGATCGACTTCTCATTGATTCTTGCTGATTTCGATTCTATCTTCAAGATCTCATCTTATCTCTTGTTTTTGACTCTATCTCTTCAGCCTTTGATTTTATCTCTTCAGCCTTTGACTCCATCTCAATCTCGTCAGTTGCACCTCAGGTTTGTTCGAGTGCTATCTCGCCGGATTCTTCTCCTGAAATCTCTCATAAGTTGTTGAACCTGCAACAACCTTTTCACAACCAAAATAATATGTGCAAATAATTTCACTAACATATACATATATAGTGTGCGTGTGTATATGTTTTGTTGTTACTTTATGGAATTTTAAAAAGATATCTCGTAATATAAACTATAAAGTCATCATAATTGTTGGACCGCTGTGGTCTATCGATATCGTCCGTTAATATTGTATCGATTAATCCTAAAGTTCATCCATCATAGCCATATACGCAATTATAATATGTAATACCGTGACAGAAAAAAATCAAATAAAAATTATGTTTTCATAATCAATATTTAAGTAAGTAATAGTTTACTAAGTTTATTTTGAAAATTTTCACACATTAATATTAAGGATTAGAATATTGTTATATCTTGATCAATTATTTTTGTATGTGTTAGAAAACAATACAATTATTTATTTTTTACACTAATTATCAAATTTCTAATTCATAAATCGTGAGAACCACGATTTCAATCGTGCAAATATTAAAAATCCATCGTAGATCAAATTATTCACGGATTTCTCACTTATAATTATATTACAAGTGTTCATTTCTATATCTTTAAATAATATTTAAACATCTAATCTATTATATATAACTTAAGTGATAAATAAACACAAAGTTAATGACTATATCTAAAAATATTGAAGTCAAAAACCAAACTATCTAAAAATATTAAAGTGAGAAACCAAACTAACACTGTAAAACATAGATTCCAATATAAAATTGAATCCGGCTTTTAAATTATTAAAAAAAAATAAAAGCTATTTTTTATGAATTTTGATTAAAAATGATTCATACACCAAAATTTCCTTAAAAATAATTATTTATACCTATATATGTCATTGTCATTAGCATCTGTATGGAAAAATTATAATATACTTATAGTAAGCTTATTAAAATGAATACAAACTTGAATTATAATTTAAATAGCATATAAATTAATCTTGATGAATGACTATGTAATATCTCCAAATCTAAGTTCTAACTAATCCATTACTATTTATTTGTTTATTTATTATTTGTTTCTCTATTTATTTGGCATTAAATGTTTTCCTTTTCCAAAAGTTCAACATTCGTTTGGCATATTCCAAAGTTCCGTATGGCTATTTAATTTTTAATCATTCGCTGTCTATGGTTGCGTTTTTTTTGTCTTATTCGCTTTAATATTCTCGTATTTTTAATGAATTTTTAATATTTAAATAATAGTTTATATAGAATATATTAAAGTATACCGCTCCCTATGGAATAATAAAGATTCGTTTTGTCTTCAATTAGAATAATAATAATCTTCATGAAGAATAGAATATTATAATTTATGATTTTTTGTAGTTTGATTTAACAAAAAAAAAAGAAAAAATATTACGAGATTCCTCAAAGAAAAAATTAGTTAGGTTATGATATAACAATATTTAATCACGTGTTTAGAATGCTGCGTATACCTAACAAGTGCACCGCTCCCTCTTTATCACAAATTTTGATTTAATTTAATTGTAATAATATATATATATATATATATATATATTACCAAAAAAAATAATATCATTGAATTTAAACGTCAAATGGCGAACTAAATCATTATTAAATAATGATATTTTTCAAAAGATTTTAAACTGTTCAATATTTATCGATATATATGTAAATACTATTGTTTATAGTTTATTTACAATGGCGAAGAATATACCAAGGCAGATGTCATTCGCGAGTTGAGAATATCAATTTTGAATCCTAAGTTTGTAATATTTGAATAAAATTTTGAAAATAATAATGCACCAATATAATACAAATGCACAAAGCGATGATATTGATGAGGATAACAACAACAACAACATCAATAATAATAATAATAATAATAATAATAATAATAATAATAATAATAATGTTTCTATAAAATATTGTTATGGTATATATAATATATCATAACAATGAAATCTCAAACATTTTATTCATTAATACTAAATCGTCACATTTTTTTTTAAATGGAAACCTTAATTTAATTTGGGGACCGCAAAAAAACAAAGTTTTTTAAGGTGGGTAGAATCCAACTGTTACGAATGCATGCAGCGGTCGAGATTTGACGATCTCACGTCTGACTCAGCACTTCGTGACCCTTTCTGACAGAATCACCTTTTTGTTTCGAGAATCGTTTTCTCTCTTTTTTCTTTTTAAAGGAATTTTAATTATATTTTCATCATTCATCAGCAGG